GAAAGATGCACTAGATCAGACACCAAGGACATTGCTGTATGGTGGAGAGAAATCTGCCAACACAACCATTCTACTACACATGCCTTACTCAACTACGTTCTGGCCAATATCATGCTGATAAATATGAAAGAACCTCCCTCCAGCTCCGACTACCAAAGCAGCTTTACAGAGAAAATGCCATTGGCTCCTGAGATGCAACCCGAGTTTCACATGTTAGCTCTGCTGTTGTGTTGGCCTACAGATGGTGAAGACGAATTGGCCTCTGACCTCCCTCATTTAATCCAAAATATTCTGCATTCCTATGAACAAGAATATAAGTCACTCTTTCAGTCAAGGTACCTTCGACCCATATTTTTTCTTGGACCGGGTCAGGGTTTGAACAGACTTGTTCACAGACGCAACCTTGAAATCTTGTGGACTCAAGATGCACTGAAAGCCTCAAACACAAACTGGAGGAATGACGATATTTTCACTGATCCGACAGTCCAAGGCAAACTCCTCAGAATTGAAGGTATAGTGCAAGATTACAGGCTGTATGCAACATTTGGTGACACAGAGATCGAGTTGAATGCCAACCGAAAAGACAGCCTCTGGAAAAAAGGCCATGTGTTCTTTTATCTTGGATTTACAATCGGAGGTCCTGTTGCTTACAACGTTCACAGAGCTGAGGGTAAGAGAATTAAGTTACTAAAGTCCTCATCTTTACAAATGTCATATGTGTAAATAATACACATTTTGTACTGCCATTATCAAAGTGAGTTAGTGCTGCGTACAAAGTTTTCCTGTACTAAACTGGTTTTATTGTTACACTTAAAGATTCTAACAATAGAAAATAGATATCTTATATGTACTTAATGTAATTTTGTTATGTAGAAATCTCACACAAGATAGCACTTGTGGTAAAGGGCAAAAAAACAATGTGTCTGAATGATATTTTGTTGGCCAGCTCTTTAAAATTTAACTTTGCTTTACAAGAACCATCAGAGAGACTTCTGGAGACTTTTGACAATGAAACAGTAAGTTTCTACTTCTCTGGGATTTTGTTTGTTTCTCACATAAAAATTCTAAAGTCATAATGTAAATGTATAATTATATTGTAAAAATATAATGAAAAAAATATCTTGTACAACAGGACTCCAGTCAGTGGACGAAGCTGAAACCTGAAGTTGAGATAATGGAGGAGATTCATACTTACAGGTAAAGGTTATCGATAAGTATAAGACAGACCATAAAGTAATTAATTACAAGTGCCATTTTAT